GGCCGTGAGGGGTACCACCAGCTGAGATATCAACAAGGTCTTGCGACTCTCAGACCAAGACACAAGTCGTAAGAATAACGATAAGCCTGGAAAGTTCAGATTCAGGAACTGTTGCTGTTGCCTTAGCAACAGCGTTGTGGTCGAGTGTAAGAAGTTGGTAATCAACATAAAAGGGTCTTATCAAAAGAAAATAGGTTGAATTGATAAATATGGGTAAATATTGATAGGAAATGGGTTGGATCTTGACGGGCAGCACACAGAAGGGTGCAACAGAGAGAGAGAGAGAGAGAGACAGACAGACAGACAGAGAGAGAGAGAGATGTTTGCAGACTTACTGTTATGTACAAAGCCAATATTATGAAGATTCCCTTCATGGCACAACTTTGTGGACAGCCAAAAAATCGTCATCCACAACACAAGACGCTCAGTCATCAACAGACAAATGCTGGTTGTGTAATTTTTAAGAGCAAAACTTCAAGAGCGAGTATTGGTTCTCAGGCAACGGCGGTTGTTACCTCCAACACCTTGGAGGTCAACATTACCACCTCCAACACCTTGGAGGTCAACATTACCACCTCCAACACCTTGGAGGTCACCATTACCACCTCCAACACCTTGGAGGTCACCATTACCACCTCCAACACCTTGGAGGTCACCATTACCACCTCCAACACCTTGGAGGTCACCATTACCACCTCCAACACCTTGGAGGTCACCATTACCACCTCCAACACCTTGGAGGTCAACATTACCACCTCCAACACCTTGGAGGTCACCATTACCACCTCCAACATCTTGGAGGTCAACATTACCACCTCCAACACCTTGGAGGTCAACATTACCTCCTCCAACACCTTGGAGGTCAACATTACCTCCTCCAACATCTTGGAGGTCAACATTACCACCTCCAACATCTTGGAGGTCAACATTACCACCTCCAACATCTTGGAGGTCAACATTACCACCTCCAACATCTTGGAGGTCAACATTACCACCTCCAACATCTTGGAGGTCAACATTACCACCTCCAACATCTTGGAGGTCACCATTACCTCCTCCAACACCTTGGAGGTCACCATTACCACCTCCAACATCTTGGAGGTCAACATTACCACCTCCAACACCTTGGAGGTCAACATTACCACCTCCAACATCTTGGAGGTCACCATTACCTCCTCCAACATACTGAAGGGTAACACTGACTTCTCCCAAGATGACGAAGAGTGAAACAGTCAGAAACAGCAGCTGTAGGAATCATCTAATCAGCGAAATTCGCATTCTGCAGCAGCTGCTGTAGTATGCAGTCTGCAGCTACAGCATACAGTCAGCAGCAGCAGCAGCAGCAGCAGCAGCAGCAGCAGCAGCAGCAGCAGCAGCAGCAGCAGCAGCAGTATCGCCCCAGTGAGCCGAGCACTTTGTGAGATAACATCCGGCTCCATAAACATGATCCCAGAGGCCGGTGTTAAGCCGGTGACCGTCGCTACACGTTCAGGGGTCTCAAGCCCCAGATCATGTCCCCCAGCCAGTGTCCACCAGCCCCAGATCATGTCCCCCAGCCAGTGTCCACAGCCCCAGATCATGTCCCCCAGCCAGTGTCCACCAGCCCCAGATCATGTCCCCCAGCTAGTGTCCACCAGCCCCAGATCATGTCCCCCAGCCAGTGTCCACCAGCCCCAGATCATGTCCCCCAGCCAGTGTCCACCAGCCCCAGATCATGTCCCCCAGCCAGTGTCCACAGCCCCAGATCATGTCCACCAGCCAGTGTCCTCTAGCCCCACATCATGTCCCCAAGACACCCCAGGACACCCCAGGACACCACAAGACACCACAAGACACCCCAAGACACCCCAGGACACCCCAGGACACCTGAAGACACCCCAAGACATCCCAAGACACCCCAAGACACCCCAGGACATCCCAGGACACCACAAGACACCCCAGGACACCCCAGAACACCCCAGGAGACCGAAAGACACCCCAGGACACCCCAAAACACCCCAAAACACCCCAGGACACCCCAAGACACCACAAGACACCCCAGGACACCACAAGACACCCCGGGACACTACAAGACACCCCAGGGCACCACAAGACACCCCAGGATACCCCAAGACACCCCGGAACACAAGACACCACAAGACACCACAAGACAAGACACCACAAGACAAGACAAGACACCCCACCACACTCCAAGACACCCCAGGACACCACAAGACACCCACAGACACACCACAAGACCACAAGACAAGACACCACCCCAAGACACCAAGACAAGACACCACAAGACAAGACACCACACCCCAAGACACCCCAGACACCAGACACCACAAGACAAGACACCCACAAGACACCCCAAGACACCACAAGACACCCCAGGACACCCCAGGACACCCCAGAACACCACAAGACACCCCAGGACACCACAAGACACCCCAAGACACCCCAGGACACCACAAGACACCCCAGGACACCCCAGGACACCACAAGACACCCCAAGACACCCCAAGACACCACAAGACATCCCAAGACACCCCAGAACACCACAAGACACCCCAAGACCACAAGACACCACAAGACACCCACAAGACACCCCAGACACCACAAGACACCACAGGACACCACAAAACACCACAAGACACCCACAAGACACCACAAGACACCCCAGGACACCCCCAGACACCTCACAAGCACAAGACACCACAAGACACCCCAGGACAACACAAGACACCCCAAGACACCCCAGACACCACAAGACACCACAAGACAAGACACCACAAGACACACAAGACAAGACACCCCAAGACACCCCAGACACCCCAAGACAACACAAGACACCCCAAGACACCACAAGACACCCCAAGACAAGACACCCCAAGACACCCCAAGACACCACAAGACACCCCAAGACACCCAAGACACCCCAAGACACCCCAAGACACCACAAGACACCACAAGACACCCCAGGACACCACAAGACACCCCACAAGACAAGACACCACAAGACAAGACACCCACAAGACACCCCAGGACAAGACAAGACACCCCAAGACACCACAAGACACCCCACCACAAGACACCACACCCCAGGACACCCCAAGACACCACAAGACACCCACAAGACACCACAAGACACCACAGACACCACAAGACACCCCAAGACACACCACAAGACACCCCAGAACAAGACACCACAAGACAAGACACCCCAGAACACCACAAGACACCACAAGACAAGACACCACAAGACAGACACCACAAGACACCACAAGACACACCAGAACACACCACAACACAAGACACCACAAGACACCACAAGACACCCCAGAACACCCCAGAACACCACAAGACACCCCAGAACACCCCAGAACACCACAAGACACCCCAGAACACCACAAGACACCCCAGAACACCACAAGACACCACAAGACACCCCAGACAAGACACCACAAACACCACAAGACACCCCAGACACCACAAGACACCCAAGACAGACACCCACAAGACACCACAAGACACCCCAGACACCCCAAGACACCCCAGACACCCCAAGAACACCACAAGACACCCACAAGACAAGACACCCACAAGACAAGAACACCACAAGACACCCCAGAACACCACAAGACACCCCAAGACACCCCAAGACACCCCAGGACACCCCAAGACACCCCAAGACACCACAAGACCACAAGACACCACAAGACACCCCAGACACCCCAAGACACCCCAGAACACCCCAAGACACCCCAGACACCACAAGACACCCAAGAACACACCACAAGACACCCCAAGACACCCACAAGACACCCCACCACAAGACAGACAAGACAAGACACCACAAGACACCCCAGAACACCCCAGAACACCACAAGACACCACAAGACACCCCAGAACACCACAAGACACCCCAAGACACCACAAGACACCCCAGGACACCCCAAGACACCCCAGAACACCACAAGACACCCCAGAACACCACAAGACACCCCAAGACACCCCAGAACACCCCAGACACCCACAAGACACACCCCAGACAAGACAAGACACCACAAGACAAGACACCACAAGACACCCACACCCACACCCCAAGACACCCCAAGACACCCCAAGACACCCAAGACACCACAAGACACCACAAGACAAGACACCACACCCCAAGACACCACAAGACACAAGACACCACACCCCAAGACACCCACAAGACACCCCAGAACAAGACAAGACACCACAAGACACCCCCAGACACCACAAGACACCCCAAGACAAGACACCACAAGACACCACAGACACACCACAAGACACCCCAGACACCACAAGACAAGACACCCCAAGACACCCCAAGACACCCCAAGACACCCCAGGACACCCCAGGACACCCCAAGACACCCCAGGACACAGACACCCACAAGACAGAACACCACAAGACAAGACACCACAAGACAAGACACCCCAAGACACCCCAAGACACCCCACCCACACCCCAAGACACCCCAGAAGACACACCACAAGACACCCCAGGACAAGACAAGACACCACAGAGACAAGACACACCACAAGACAAGACACCCACAAGACACCACAAGACACCCCAAGACACCACAAGACACCCCAAGACACCCCAAGACACCCCAGAACACCACAAGACACCCCAGGACAAGACAGACACCCCAAGACACCACAAGACAAGACACCACAAGACAGGACACCCCAAGACAAGACACCACAAGACAAGACACCCACAAGACAAGACACCCACACCCCAAGACACCCCAAGACACCCCAAGACACCCCAAGACACCACAAGACACCCCAGGACACCCCAAGACACCCCAGAACACCACAAGACACCCCAAGACACCACAAGACACCCCAAGACACCACAAGACACCCCAGAACACCACAAGACACCCCAGGACACCCCAGGACAACACAAGACACCCCAAGACACCACAAGACACCCCAGAACACCACAAGACACCCCAAGACACCCCAAGACAACACAAGACAAGACAGAACACCACAAGACACCCCAGACACCACAAGACACCCACAGAACACCACAAGACACCCCAGACACCCACAAGACAAGACACCACAAGACAAGACACCCCAAGACACCCCAGACAAGACACCCACAAGACACCCCAAGACAAGACACCACAAGACACCCACACACCCCAGGACACCCACAAGACACCCAAGACAGACACACCACAAGACACCCCACAAGACAAGACACCACCCCACAAGACACCACAAGACAAGACACCACAAGACACACCCAGAACACCACAAGACACCCCAAGAACACCACAAGACACCCCAGGACACCCCAAGACACCCCAAGACACCACCAGACACCCACAAGACACCCCAGGACACCCACTCCGGACGGAGCCTCAACCCCACACACCTGACTCCGGACGGAGCCTCAACCTCCACACACCTGACTCCGGACGGAGCCTCAACCTCCACACACCTGACTCCGGACGGAGCCTCAACCCCACACACACCTGACTCTAATCCGGGTCGCGGAGGGGTAAAACAAATGACAATCATCATCAATGTTTTCGACTCTATACGTGGCTTCTCCTCAGAAGGGGTTTTAGGGGGGGGGCCTCGTAGCCTGGTGGATAGCGCGCAGACTCGTAATTCTGTGGCGCGGGTTCGATTCCCGCACGAGGCAGAAACAAATGGGCAAAAGTTTCTTTCACCCTGTTAGTCAGCTGTCACGGGCTGCTTCCTGGGGGTGGAGGCCTGGTCAAGGACCGGGCCGCGGGGACACTAAAGCCCCGAAATCAACTCAAGATAACCTCAAGATAACCTCAGCCGTGGAGGGGCGAAGGGTATATATAACAATTACCAAACGTCTGTCAGTGCGACGCCCCCCAACCCCATCAACACAGACGAACTGGAACCACAACAAGTGACAGGCGAGGAGATGGCATGATGGATAGCAGCCCATCCCGTCCATCATACATGGTCGCCGTCTCCTCGGCAGGAACATAAAACCAGGCTCAGTGATTTATCACCGTCGTCGTGGCTGTCACTGTATGTGTAGTGTAGTAATATCTCGCTGTATTGAGCTGGAGCGATGTATGATGACGCTACACTACGAGGGACACGCACCAGATTCACGAAGTACTTACGCAAGTATTTACGAACGTGTACATCTTTCCTCAATCTTTGACGGCTTTGGTTACATTTATTAAACAGTTTACAAGCAT